CATTAATCTATAACAATGCAACAAATCATCAACAAATCAGCATTCTTAAATCATTTATCTTACATCTACCAGGACATTACTTGCAGTGGCTCGCATACGGCACACACAGTTTGGCATAGCGACTCAAAATGCAAGTATATCTCGGCCTTTACTGCCTTGTTTAAAGATATATAGATACATAGTTTTTTACAGATTTTTAATGCAGTGTAACCTCAAGTCCTTTGATGATTGGTAAATACGGCCTCCTATCAACTCCTCCTCTAGAAGCATCTAATGACAGGACGAGAACTAAGTCCAGAGAGTCCGTGAAACAAAACAATTAACCCACCTGGAACCTTTGCTTAACTGGAATAGATCCAAACAGTATCAGAGATTTGGTTAGGATTTACACTATTAGTTGCAGACAGAAGACATAGGCTGTATGCAGGGGTGGAATGGGACAAAAAATCGACCCTGGCATTTTGGACTAGACAGCCCCACCACATTTTTTTGGGTGTACTGAATGTGTAAACCAACTGTGCAATACCAACTATGCAATACCTTGAGGCCAGGTTCATGGAAATTAGTGAGAGTGGACACTTAAAATACTTCAAAAATCTTAAATTATTAACACTGTAAAATGTAAACTCCACCACAGCAACAATTCTTAGATCAAGGAGAGAGAGAGAGGGAGAGAGGGAGAGAGAGAGAGAGTCACAGTCAACCACACAAATTACGCTACTCTTCTCATGCTCTTCTGTGCACTGGTGCACATGCCTCCAATCAGACATCCCAGTAATAAATGAGCTTGTGTCTGTAGTCTTTCCAAATGCAATACATACAAAACAAAATAAAGCATGACGTTTCTCACAATATGTGAGCCACCTCCTGTTGGTTGCATTTTTAGTGGTGAATACCTTTTGCACAACTGGATTTTTTGTGCTTTGTTGTTTGTGGTGATTCAAAAATTTTTGTAAAAGACTAGGATCAGGACAGGCAAAGTAATCTTGTTCCTCCTGCTCTCTGCTCTCATCTCTCTCGCCATGTCTCTCCTCAGCCGCACTGACATCATGTTTACTGCTTGGTTCGCCGTCGCCTCCACTACAACCACAGACATCCCAAGTTCCAAAAACTCATTTCAGGGAGAGGCTTAATGAGGATAAATTGTGCCTTCATCAGTAGTGGATTAGAGATATACAGTGAAGTTCACCAGAGGGCCAATTCAATTCAGTTTCGTTCAGGTAGATATTTCATAATGCAGAAAATAACACTGTTTATTTATTTATGATGCTTTATAATAATAAATAAGTGCCATAAAATATTTGCTCGCATGCTTGCATTTATTATCTGTGCCTATGTTTTTATAAAATAAACAATTGCCCAAAATTTTTTTGCTCACCTGCTCTGTGCGCTCGCTTTTCATTTGGTGCCCTATTGTGCCCCTGTATAGTACTGGGTCAGCTGACGCCCCCGTCCATACATGCAGCCCATCATTCTTCACCCCCATTAGACATGGATACACTTTCTACTGCAAAATGAGGTGAATGTAAAAGAGTAAACTGAAACTTATTGGCTCATTTTTCTGACTGATCCAATCAGCTCTCTGATCAATCAGTCGAGCTGGATCACTGGTTG